ACATACATACACACACACACACACACACACACACGTATATATATATTCATTTTTACATACATACCAACAGCCTTCATAGCATTGAGTGGTAACCACCCGTGCTGTCTCTGAGCCAGATCCAGCAGCGGAATCATCGCTGCCGACTGATGGCCCCTGGGATAGTTCTGCATAATGCTCTTGCATCGCGCCAAGTTTTCATCAGTGAATTCAAATGGCGTGTCCTTGTTATTTTGCTCACTATCTCTGTGCACAAAAAGCTTATCTGATCGCAATGCGGTCGATGTCTTCATTGTGCGAGTTAGTGTGCGTTGTGCAAGCACGGACGCACACGGACGTGCTGCTGATACAATTGCTCTGAACATGATAGAACTAGTATATGAAGCCTATATAACTTGTATATGAATGCTAGATTACTTGCGTATTATGCCTATATAACACTGTATATGAAGCGCGGATATGGGAGTGCAACACCGGAACGATTCAATACACCGTAGAGTCTTTCTGCTGTGTACAACAATATACCACTCTCTCTTTGAACAGGACTTTGTCTCTTTGACTTTTGAATGAGTGTGTAGCCACATCGAGGACCCATTCATTGCACTCTGAATAAATATATTCCATAAAAGTATTCCAATATTTGGTTTCAAATGCCTTTTTGGATTGAAATCTTTTGTGGAGAATGCGAGATCTGGCATCATATTTTGGGTATGTAAAAATCGGGACTAATTAATTAATCCATAATATATGTCATCTATCTTGTAAATCAAGTCATAAAAATTGGAATTGTAGATGATTTTTGAATTGTAGAAACCAAATTCGGCCAAGAATTTCCGTTCTTAGAATATTATATAAATAGTGAATACATACCGAGAGAGGCCACACAGTTCACAGTCCACACAGTCCAACTCCAAAGGGCAAAACGTTATTCATACGTGAAACCGTTTCTAGTTCCTTTCTTTTTGTTGACTGTATAATCGGTTCAACGTTTATACTTTATATTGCTTGGTGGTCTGGGGTGGATGAAATACGTATTTAGTAAATTTTGGTTTCTTGCCCCACCCACGGGCACACAGTCACGCACATCGATGCAAGAGTCTGCAAGTAAAAAAAGATATGTATTTATATATTGTTTTATAAAAAAGAAACAACATATATAAACACAAATATTTTACAAAATAAAATAAAAATTACAAAAATAAGCTGGATTTAGAAATGCGTTATCCAATTAGAAACCATTTCCAATTTGCGTCATGCAATTTCAATGTTACCGTTTACAGAGCCACGTGAAAGCTGCAAGAAGTGCGCAGAACACCACCATTGGAAGCCACCTGTCAGTTCAATCCCGGATACGTGTGCACACATACACATATACGCCTATAAATATAAGATGTAGATATATGTATATGTCTATATATCTATACATGTTTTAAAATACTTTCGAATATTAAAAAAAGTGTATAACACCGCTCTCGGTGCGATTTGAGCTGAACTTCGCATACGTCAGTCCACAGTGTTATCTGCGACAAATATTCGACTTTGTATCTGTGCATAGTCCAGCACAAGAGATAAATATCTAGATAACTTGGTATTTGTACTGTTAAATTGTCAAAATGGTACGAAGGGCCAAATTTTCCGAGCGTGCTTTGCTGAAGTTTATGGCAGAGTGCCAGAAGAATAAGGTATGTATCGATAGCATTCTGTAGTGGGCAGAGTATAATATATACATACATATATATATTTATATA